AAAACTTTATTTTAGAATTTCAAATATATGCCTGAATACTAGATTCCACAAATTTTAAAATTCTCATAACTTATACATCGTAAATGTATATAAAGTATTAAACCATTATAATTTTATGAACAGTTAGGTTTGATGTTAAGTAATATTCTTCACACAAGTTGACTACCATTATAGTTACTTTTACATAATTTTATATAAAATTTTAAATGACAAAGAAATTCTATTTTTATTAATAATGTAGTGATATAATTATAATTTCTTAAAGGATTCAAATACTGTTAGTATTTCCTTTGGGTATATAAGCACATATCGATCTGATAATTTGCCTATGCTCTTCAATGAATTAATTTATGAAGAAACAAAATGAAAAAAAGTAACCATTAGAATGAACTATATTCTATGCTGCCTACCCAAGCATTAAATGAAAACAAAAAAAAAGTAAAGATATTTCAAGAACATCACAAGTTCCATGGTTATCTTAAAGTCATTTATTTTTTGAAACACCTACGTGTGTTTCGAAGCTAGTAAATTTCTCTTGGATACCTTTTTCCCACCATACAAAGATGTACACTAGAAATCTCAATGAGAGAAAAAAAAACCTTGTACAAAGTGTGATACGTGACGATCCAGGACCAAACAGCTATACCAAAACTGGGGAACAATATGCGAGGTTATAATATCTTCCATATTCGTTGCAGTTTTTATTTGCACAAAGGGTTAAAATTTCTTTCAAACAAGCAAGACGAACATTCCTTGTCAATGAAGTAATTAATAACAAATAGAATAATGCAATTTTTCACCGGAGCCACAGTTTGAGTCGCAGTGCATCCACTCCATTCAAATAATATCTGAAAAGCCGTTTGTCACGAACAAATCCTAGATTTTCATACAGTCGCAAAGCCGGTTTGTTGGTTATCTCTGTTTCTAGTACAACCTGTAAACAAATTTTACTTGTCACTAAAAACTAATATTGGGAACTAAATACAAGATCTGATCACATATAAAGAGCTGTTTTCATCTCTTCCTATCTTCAAGTGTACAGAAAGATTTCTTCCCAACTCAATTGTATGTATTTAAATTTACTAGTGCAAGTTCTTGCCAAAATCAAAAAGCTTAATTACATGAAGTTTTTTTTTTGTCTTTTAACAAACTCATTCGGGAATTAAAAAAGTTCAAAGTCAACGTCTCAAGGCTCTGTGTTATAATAACCACTAATGTTTGGTGATTACCTGAGAATAGTATCATTACAAAAAAAACTAATTAGAGGTTATTCCCAAAATTATCATGATTATTAGAAATTTCTCAAACACATGCAACATTATGTAAAAGACAATGTTTTGTTTGTTCTGAGGAAAATGAATTACTCTAAATACTAACATTTTAATAATCTTTAAAATGTTTCCTCATAAAGCATAATGACAGTCATGAACCAATTTTGTCTATATCTACTCATAAGTGTAGCAATTAACTTAATTCCACAACACACATTGCTGCATCTATTATCTTAGTTGGTAAGACAAATGTGCAAATTTTGTTTATTCTAATAAAACATACTGCAAGATAAGTTATTTTAAGTACTTTTGCATTCATAAGCCATAAAAAATATATACTTCTATAAAGAGTGCAAGGTACACCTAACCTCATGCTCATTAATAATGTACAACATTTTGTGTTACCTTTTCTACATCAATATTTTTATATTTCATTAAAATTGTAATTATATGAAATAAATGGTTGAAATTATGAAAACTTAGTCATGACTTTGTTTCATTTATGTTTTTTTAAAATCTTTTGCACATCTGTATTAGCACATACAAACACTAACCTCATCAGCTTCATCTGCCAACATGGCTCGAATTGCCTTCAGTACTAGATTTGATCCTGAAAACAAAAGACTTCTTTTTAACAAAGTTTTAAAATACAATCATTATGTGTAAAATATGATTCTTTTTATCATTAATTAATTTAATACTACTGAAAGTAGAACCTCACCCAATGACTTTTTCCTCCTCTTTCTACCTAAGCAGTTTTTATTTTAGCACATTGTATAAAAACTTGAATACAACAAGTTATCATAATCAAACTGTGAAAACAGATTAGACCTTCATAACATCATTGAATAAAGTAAAAGTATGAATTCTATTCAAAATTAGAATTTTCTATTGAAATATTGGTTTTACTAAAGAGCAAGTAAATATGTAAGCAACCCAACTAATGCTAAATTATTCAAAAACTTTAACAAATTATCTAAAATTTAAGTAGTTTAATACAATATTTTGTAAAATAAGTTATTTTTATTAAATATAAATGAACTGGTAAATAAGAAAATTAATATCAAATAATTAATATTAAAGATCATGACTTTATACATAAATGCATATAACGAATAATATATATATATATATATATATATATATAACTACAATGAAATCAACTTTTTTCACCAAATATATCAGATAATTCAGATACTGTATTCTACAGTCACCTTAATACTATTTCACAACTTGAAAAGGGATTAATGTAAACATGGCAAGTTCAATAAGGCTTTAAATGAAAAATGTACATAGTTTCATAATGACATTCACTTAACTTTCTGATACAAAATGTTTCATTTCAATTGCACCACCCTACTACGGCCAAATATATACACACACACACACAAGCTTTTTTCTGTTACAATGAAATATTTGTTTTATGTAAATGGTATTCCTTCATTCCCAGTATTCAGTACCTATTCTCTGCTTCCTGTAGTTTTCATCCACTGCTAACATGGCAATATAACCTCTTCTAATCAATTTCTTATGAACATCCAGCTTGCAAACAATGGCACCAATACATTTCTTCCCATCTATAGCCTGACAGAGAAACAAACGTTACTGGAAATGTTAAATATTTCAAAAATGACAGGAATATACACCTGTGTAATCACATAAATTAATGCTCGCATATATATGTGGATTTTGACCCTGGAATAAAAACCATTCTAGATGTGAATTTTATGAAGTGAAACATTCAGTAGCATATATTTATACATGTTGTAAATACTTTGGTCAGAAAAAGATGTACACGCATTTAAACTCTTATTATGAAAAGTGGACTTGAGCCTAAAGGTACTAAAAAAATATAAGTAATCTTCAGATTTATTAAGCAAAACAGCTTTATAATTTGAAATACGTATTTTACTGAACATAGCAATGGGCTTACATGATCATTGGCTAGCAAAGTTTAATATTTTTCCTATAATATCTATTAACAAACACTAAATGCAATACAGCTAGTTTAAAGGTGACCTAAAATACCTAAAACACAAAATTCAATGTAATCACAAGTTTATCTGACATTACAAAAAATATGGTTAGGACAGAAATAAATCTACATTTTTTCTGTTTTAAAAGAAATAATTGTATGTGCAAATTTAGTGTACACATTTATTAACCTATCAAGAATGCAAGAACTGTAGTACACAAAATTCAAATATTAAAAGACATTTTTCAATTAAAAAATTAGTTAAGCCTGAAAAAAATGTATTTCTTCACAAGTTGCAAATATATGTAAAAACTTAAATAAATTTTTATAACTTACCAAGAAACACAGTTTAGGCCAATTGTGGATAAAGTATCTATAGGTATATATGGAATAAGGTTCTGACAGATCCTTTTGTATCAGTTGGATTATATCGGGCATCTGTTCTTCTGACTCATATCCTATATAAGTTATCTCACAGGTTTTGTTCAACAAACTCTCTTGCAGTGAAACATTTACCACTGTCTTCTTTTTCACTTCTTGATCTTTAACTATATTTTCATTATCACAAGTACTTATTGCAGTGTCTATGTCACCTTTAGGTTGGCTATTTAGTCCAAAGACTGGTTTGCTATGAACCCCACACACAAAATTTTGATTCAAAGTACTATGATGATTTTGTGCACACTCTTCCACGATAGTATCTTGTGAATATTCATTTGGGCAAATTTGGCTTTCACACTGTTTTACTGTTTTGTAATGGAACACATTATTGCCACTACAATTTTCCAATGATACACCATCACAGTGTGTTAGCTTCTCAAGGGCATGTCTTGCAAGACCATTAATGGTTGATGAATCTACTGATTTGGGACATGGGTAAATATCTGAAAGACAACCATTAATAGAGGAGGATTTACTTGTTGAGTCATTCTTAGTTTTATTTGGAATAGTACCAGGGTATTCTTGTGAATGCAGATGAAGCTTTTCTTTCATTTGAGAGGACACACTGATTACATGGTTCCTATCATTACTTCTATTAGAATCAGTTACACTTGTGGCCTTAGCCGGTAAAGTTTGATCCATTTCAATGGTACCAAAACACACATTTACATTTATCTGTAAAATAAAAGGGTTACAAATTTAATTCAAAGATGCTACTTCTCAACTGATTAATATATATATAACAGGGTTAAACCTGTAATGCTATGACAAAACTCAAGAAACAATATTAACCACAGTACAAGTTACTCTAACATTCATATATTCATAATTAAGAAAAAAAAATCTGTGAATAAATTACTTGAAATTGAGAGATACATAACTTGTTAATATGATGCTTGAGAATAAAGTAACACACAAAAATAAAAGTTAAGTTTTATTTACCTATCTGATGTGAGCACTGTGGATTATTCTCCTGTCTATTTAGTTTCACAAAGCTCAAAGTGATGCATTTTGGCATGGAAATTTGATAAAGATTTCCTTCTTATGTGATTTAGGCATTAGTATAGTTAAAAAGTGAAGTATTTACAGGTTTATGTGATCATGGATAAAATCCTAAAACCTGTTGAGTGATCATTTACCATGAAAAGCACAAATAAGAGTTCTTGGTTCTGTTTATAGGAATTTTGAACTTAAGAGCAAGATTACTATCTATATTTTGTAAAAAACTCTGGAGAGGCCTAATTTAGAATATACTTTTGTCCCCCACCCAAAAAAAAAGAACAGCAGCATGCTAGAGAGTGCAGAGAGACAGGTTACTAAATTGATACTGGTACTAAGTTCAAAATAAGAAACACAAAGATTTAAATTTGTTTTCTTTTGAGATAGAAGTAATAAAGATGATTTGATTCAGGTTTTTAAAATATTAAGGGTTTGGATAACCTGCTCAAGTGTGGTCTGTTTGAGTGATATGAAAAGGTTAGAAATTAAATGATTTAATATCAAGGGGTAAAATTCAACATTAATCTTCAGGAAGCTTGGAATTAAACTTGCTCTTTGTTAGAATGATAAACTAGCATCATGATATATTTCATAGTGTAGTATATGCCTTCAGTCTAAATTTTATCAAATTCCACCAAGACATGGTGTAAAAACTAATAGCAGTCAGTAAGTTATAGAGTAACAAGACAACCAATGTCTTACTTATCACACTATTTTTAATCACTAATATGGTGTAAAAATCACGAGTTGATTCAGGAACATTTTGCACGATATTGTTCATGAACAAGTACAATTTCCATTTAAAATAAGATAAATCAATCTATCCTCCAAGGTTTCACACAAACATGGATTTTCATATAATGCTAAGTGGGACTAAAAGCATGAATATTCTTTGCTTGACCAAAGCAAGTATTTTAGTGACAATTGTCTCAATTATCTAAGCAGAATAAAAATAAAATCTAAAACACATTAATGAACACTTTAAGATGGAAAAATGAGATGTGTGATGTTCATGTATACGTATCTCTCCTTATGAAATAAATGCTGACATAATACATATTTCATTTCTATTTGGGGAGGAATGAAACCTTATACTATATATAATGGCTGGAGATGGCTTGAATGGGTTCCTCGTCACCGAATTTATACTATATATATTAGAGAAAGCCAGAAAAATAAATAAATTGGATAATTTTTCATCAAAACTTACAATGTAATGAGGTAAGAAATCACTAACAGCAACCAAAAGTGTGATTTTGAAGCTAGAAAATCATTAGCAAATACTGTTCAATTATATTTTATCAGTTAAATTACATGGACAGGCAAACTAGTAAAAATTATTTCACAACTGTAAAATTTAAAACTGTTCACGAGAAACTTGGTATAAGAATACAGGTTACATTTGGGAGTGGTTATTGCTTTTGAGCGCAAATATTTTGGGACCTAAGTTCGAAAAACCATGTCTTGAAAAATTCATGATATAAGAGACATATTGCATTCAATGTGATGAAACATTACCTTAACATAAAATATTACTTTAAAAATAGCTTCAATCAATACCTTATAAACATTGATCAATACTTTTGACATCAAGCTAGACAGTATCTCAAAAGGAGGTACTATTGGGTTAATCAATCCAAAAAAATATCATCCATAAAAAAGTCTTTAAGCCGTAAGTGCACATAAATCAAAAATAATTTTCAAAAGTATCTATTTCGATTTTTTTTGCATTTTGAGTGCCCCCCTACAACCTCCAGCTCAAATTCTTAAGTTTCCGTGTAGCAGAAACATGCTTCATTTGCACTCAATTACCACTGTCCAAATTAACTTTCTGTATTACCTTTTGTAAATGTAAACAACATTATAGATATTTAAGAGAGAAAAGAGCATCAGGATTTGAACTATATATTAAGGGAATATGATGCAGGTAGTTACAGGTTTATATGACAAAACACAAGCATTGAAAGTCCTACTGGTAGTCCTTAGCAAAAGTCAGTCATAAGAAGGCAACTAAACTAGTTATAAATTAAGAATCAAAATTCCTTTTTATTTACCTCATTTATATTAATAAGCCACATCAATAATTTCATGGAATTTTTATGTGTTTAGGAAAGGTATTTTCGTTAGTAAGTTCCCCATTTTTACATTATTACAAGTAAATGGGTTACATGTACAGTAAAAATCATTCTAATATCAGATGGAGAAATTAGCTTCCATCATCTGAAATTTTGTGGCTTGAAGTAGTTTTAAGTAGCACAAACTATTACTCACAGGTTAATAACTAATACAGTATATCAAGCATGTCTGTCTTTGACACAGAAAACTTGTTCTCTCTTTCTAAAAAGTTTTCATAAAAATGCACACACCTGTTTCACAAAATGTAAGACAAATGCTCAAATAATAATGCTCATAATCTAATAACAAAAGCAAATTAAGAGGCAACACAAAATTCTCAAATAGAATAAATGTCCAAGACTGAAACAGTACTACTGTATTGGTCCGATTATAAACTGATGTTTTTTGATTAATAATTAGGCTGTAAAATTCATAATCGCCTTATAATCATAGCCGACCACAGCCTCCCCCTACTCTAATCTGTTGCATTCCTGAATGTCCAGATAGCATCCGTCTACACATGCACGCCAGATATTCACTCAAGATCATCGCTAATTCTTGCAACTAATCCCCCCACAAGCTGTTCAGTTATAGTATTGATTTTTATGGTGCATTATAGCTTTGACTATGCTTGTTTTAAATTTTATAATAATTGTCTGTGAGTCTCACTTTGGTGATTAACCCTTATGCAAGAATGAGTGACCACATTGAAAGACAGGAAACAAGAAAGTGTCAAATTAACAAAAGATTATGATGCAAATCTTAAAATTATGGTGGTGCAAGACACAAAAAAATGAACAATTGTACTGCTGCTACAAAAATTTGGTGTAGCTGAAAGTAATGTGAGTAATTGGCAGAAACAAAAGATTGAATTCCATAATACATTTTCTACAAGAAAGGCATTTCACAGACCTAAAAAGGGACATTATGACACTTAGTTTTTTCTTTCCCATGGTTTCTGAAAATGGGAGTCACCTTATATTCAAGATCATCCTATAATTGTGCCAATGCGGTATTTTTGTTTTGTCTCCTAGAGGGATTTTTTTGCATAGTAATTTTCAGTAGTTTCAAGAATCACATTTGATAGCAAGTCTAATAACCTGATTTTTTAATACTCTTTTCAAACAGATTAGAATTTCACAAGATCCACGTTATAAGACTTCATTACTAAAAAAAAAAAGGGGGGGGGACCAAAAGCCTTTCAGTTCATTAACACCAAGTTGTTATTCAACACAACCACCTATTTAAAACATTAAAATGAAACTAAGTGATTCTGTATATTCACATACCTATCTAACAAAATTTCATAAGAATTCAACTTAATAGCAGAAACCATAACATCAAGCAAACCAGTTTATATCTGTAATAAAAAATTTCCATTTCACTTCTCAAACAGAAACCCTGAAGCATTTATTCAAACCAACAGTAATTTCAAACCCAATAGTTACCCTAATATGGGTCACTTGTTAGACCTCACTTGAAATACTGTTTTCAGTCTTGGGCTCTTTCTCTTAAGAAGTACACTAAATTGCCAGAAAGTGTTGAAAGGAAGGCTACAAGAATGGCACCTGGGATAGAAAAGTTGTCATATGAGGACAGGTTAAGATCTCTGAAATTGCTTCCTCTTGTAAGAGTTAGAGGAAATCCGATTGAGATGATTAAGATTGTTATAGGAATTAAAAGTATCAATGTACTTTTTTCATAGTTATGGTGAGAATAGTAGGACAAGGGGACATAAACATACATTTTGGCAGGGTAGAAGTCATCTTCAACTAAGATAGTTTTACTTTTCTAACAGAGTGGTTAACCTTTGGAATAGACTGCCTCTAGATATGGACACAGTAAATTTAAGTTTTAAAATTCATCATTCATCAACAATAGGTCATATAGATCTCCAATGGGTAATATTTCTTACCACTGATTTTCATGTAGCTCATTTATTGAAAGTAAGATAGCTTTAAACTAAAACACTCTGAAATACTGGCATTCAATTAATATAAAACTGACAGCACAAAGCATAGTACTTTAAAAAGGAACTTTCTTACTTCACTTAACTCACCATAGCTTTTGACTGTCTGTTTCTTTTCTTAACACTGACACTCCAATTGACATTTTGACTTTCGGAAACCTTCTGATAAGGTTCTGCACAAACAATTAATTATAATGTAGCATTTTTACAGCATTGGGGATAAATTAAAAGGTTCATATGATACTAATAAGGTGACAAGTGGATATTATTCTCACTGGACAAATTCAAAATGTGTGTTTTTCTCGAGTCTGTTTTGGTACCTTTACCATTCATTATTTTTATCAATGATTTAGATGATTAACTGCACAGAAGTCAACCAAAACAACTGGCTATAACACTGCATAAGCTGATACTAATGAAAATGTTCTTCAATAGTGAGAAGTATAATGCCGTAAATTTATAAAAAAAAAACTTATCTACTATAAGAGAATAACTCTGGCATGAAAAAGAAATAAAGGAGTGGGATGTGATTAACAAAATTTGAAATGTTTGCAAATCTACTCCTAATCCTTATTATCCCAGAAGCAGACGTCAGGTAAAGGTGACTATAAAATATCAGTTTCATAAACATTCAAAAACAATAAAAACAGATTTCAGAACACGCTGTAAACTTATTCCTAAGTACAATTTCTACAAGACTATCAAAAACTAGAACTGTCACATACTGGTAAAAATTGTACATTTCTTTGAAACATGAATACATCAGCTCTTTCATGATTCAAAATTATATTACATTCTAACTTACAAATAATATAAAAAAATGTAAGGTGAAAGAAAGCCATTTGGCTCATCAACATTACACATAATTGGGCATCATTGGATAATTCAACAAATGAAATGTATCTACTGTTACATCAACAGATGAAATTAACTATACATTCATGTATTTTATGACAAGATTTATATTATAGGTATTTAAGTAGCAGTTACAAAAGCAATATCCATCATCTAATAATATAAAATTAGGCCAAGGCTTGCACTTGATGTTACCACAAACTTTCTTTTACCATAAAAACTATACAGGTATGTAACTAATTGCCCTGTTAGCTATATCTGGGTCCAAGGCTAAGAATTAAACCACAAAGATTATCTGTAACATTTGGACAGGTACTGTACTTTAGTACCTCACACCAAAACCGATCCTCTGAAACTAAATCAATGGTAAAATCTACAATTACACTGTCAGGTTGTCAACAGACTATATAATTATTAATGTTAAAAAAGTATTATAATGTTCTTTATTATATTGAAATAGCGACTACAATTTTTCAAGTTTCACAATATTTTCCATTGAATGTTTTTTGCATGTGTTAAAAACATTTCTTCAATTTATCTAACAAACAGACTGCAGGGTCTTAATTATAACATTTGGACATTATCTATGCCTCACAAATAAATAAATGGCTTAAAAGTTAACATTTTCTTAAAATGAAAATGTACTCCTCTCACAAAATATATTTTCTCAATTAGTACTTCCCTCTATTTGAGGAGGATGTTTCACAACGGATGTGGATCATTTACTAAACTAGACAAATAAATGGCAGATGGCATTTAATTATGCTAAGTGCAAGGTAATGCACATGGACAACCTTAACTATGCACATGATGGAAATCAATTCAGTAGTGTAATGAAACAAAAGGATCTTGATGTTTTGGTTGATCATTTCCTTATGACTTTCAGGCAATGTGTTTTTGCCAATAGGAAATCAAATAGGATTTTGAGCTGCATCTACAGGAATAATGAATACAAGTCAAAGGGGATTATAATTTAATTGTAAATATCACTGGTTAGGCCTCATTTTGAGTATTATGTTCAGTCTTGGTCTCCTTACTTCAAGAAGAACAATATCATGATTATGTTGTTAGAAAGGATTCAACGTAGGACAACTAGAATGACTCCTGGGAAGGAAGGGCTGTTATATAAGAAAAAAAGGGGTTAGATGGGATCTGGTTGTAGTGTTCAAACTTATAACTTAAGGGAATAGATAGGATTGATGCAATAGATTTAAAATTTGGCAGGGTAGAATTTGTTTGTAAAGTAATTTTCTTCTTCAAACACGGTGGTCAACCTTTGGAATACACCGTCTTCAAATGTGGTAGACACCACACGACTGGGAAAGTTAAAAAAAAAAGGACTTGATCAGTATTTTGTGAGTAATGGTTGGATACAAGTTGATGAGTGTTTGACAAAATTAATGAAAAAGCCATTATGATACAGCTAAAGAAAACTACCATCGGATGGCGGCAGTACAGTGGATTGGGGCGATTATGCAAAGGGAAATCTGAATACCAATACTGGAACAGTCAATTCTGAATGTCCCATTCTTATTATTAAGACATTTGAAAACTATGAACTCTAATGTTTTGTACTTAAAACATAAAATGCAATTTTTAATCTTAAAAAAAGAGAAAGAAATAACATAGTTTAAAACATACCTAGTCTACCACATTCTCGCCTTGGATCAGTCTTAACTTCTTAGTCTTAGCTAAATTTTCGTGATTTCAGTGACACCTAGCTCACACTTTATATTATTTATGCTATTTTAATTAATATATTTTTTGTTGTTTTACAAACAAAAAGAAAGATAAAATGTGAAAATATTTTATAATCAAAAGATATATTTATTGCAAGAGGGCACATATCTCTATATTTATACGCATTATTGATGTTAAATATTTATTTGACTATTTCTAAAGTTATTATTTCATTGAATTTACAATACACAACAAATTTGTCCAAATTTAAACTGCCCGATTTTCTACTACCCTACTCCAAACTATTAAAAACAACAATTTTCTTATATGTAACTCTGATGTCTAAAACGCTCTAAGATATAAAAAATCTCTTTTTAAACGCTTTTAATGCTAAAAATCTTACCATATCTGAAGCAGATTATTTTATTACAAAAGTAACACTATCTTACTTTGCAAGTGTTATACCAGATATTTTATCTCTTCAATTTTAACCTAGAATTCTCTCTGCATATCTATGAGAAAAATTGATGGTGAGATAATCAATATACCAAAACTTATTTTTATTAAAAAGAATCTGCGAGATTTTTAGATCAGCTTATTAAATAGTCCAAATATCTTTACGAAACTTCAACATCTTAAGTACAGTTTAAAACTCTCACTGATTTAAAATTATCTGTAAATTAAACAAATTCGGTAGTTATTTCTTTATCAATGTCGTTAATGAAAATTAAAAAGACCAAAGAACCTAGCATAAAGCTCTGAAGTACACGGCTTGTTAAATTCATATATTGAATAGTTTAATCAAGTGAAAAGAAAAAAAAAAAAACCGGGGAAAGCTGTCATTATAACAAATATTCACTTCAAAATTCAGCAGTACATAGCAGTAGTGATTATAACCCCCGCTATTCTTCGACGACAAAATGCTGATTTTGTAGCTTTTAATCATTTCTGTGGTGAAATAATCAATTTACTTTTCACCAGTAACAGAATTAGTAGGATCAGACATTCCGTTTTCTTTGTCCAGACATACGCAGATACATTGACCTTAACAATTTACGTTCACAACGCATGTGGAGTATTCAATTGTAATACTGATTTTATTCTTATGATAGATTGACTCATGGAAATCACCACGTATATATATATATATATATATATATACCAAATGGATTAAAATAACTCTTGTTAGAAGGGTAAAACACAGTAAGAAATCTTTGCATTTTATTATCTGCATGACTAATTATTTTAGAAAGTGATTCGTTAATACATCATATTAACATAATTTTAACTGACTTCGGAATCTAGTTAACATATAACAGCATAGTATTTTTTATGCATGTTTCGTAAATGAGTCATTTATTGAGGACTGGAACGTTTAATGAAGAAAATCATTATACAGATGTTGTATGCAAGCACACAATACGTTTGCTACCTTCTTAGTTTAACAATTTTTTTCTTCAGAATTTTTTATTATTTCAAGTGTTTGTGGCTTTAGTCTAGAACGTTGGCCAAGGAAGTTAATAAATTACTTTCACTCTAGCTATCTATTGTTCTGGATCATTCCCTTTAGGTATTACCATTGTCTTCCTATGTGAAAAGTTTCTGCAAGATTGTATATTGTGTAAGAGAAGACGGCAAGTTTTCAACTGACAGGTCAGGTGGTTTCCAAGGATATATGACCTCCCTTATGTTTGAATTGGAATGACCAACAGCCACATGAACGTCATGTGTGCCATTGGAAAACTAGCATTGTTGTTCAGTGTATATAATACTAGGTTTTTCAATTTAGAATAGTACTTTACAGTTCAGTTTTAACGATAACTATTTCTCTACAATAATGGCGCTGTTCCTTGGGCACACATGTGTCCTGATTGTATTTGTGAATAGTGAATAAAGATTGTTTCATTCTGTATAACATTGTGTCCATTCTGTTTGATTCTTAAACTGAGACAAAGACATATAAATCAGATTTTCTCTGAGATATATTTGTAACTAAATTTCCTGTTATACTGCAAAACATATTTTGTGACTCTTGAGGGAAATCTAAGCACTTGAGAACACCATATAACTAGTGTTAGGCTGGCAAAAAAATATCATCACACTGCTTCATGAACACATGTTAAAAACACTTGATCCAGTTACAGAAATTATTCACATGCACAGGAAAAAGTTACTTCTATTGTATTATTTAAGAAAAGATCAGTTTTTTTATGATTACATCATACATATTGATTATTTTAAAAATTGATTGTCGGGTGAGTCAGAAATGAAAATACTACATATTACACTGTTGTTTAGTTTGCTTGAAAATGCAGGATTCTGCTTTAAACTTATTTATAAACCTACAAATAGAGATCGTAAAAAAAGTAAGGAAACAAGGCTGGAGATACTGTCAGCATTACATTTACTCAAACTCTAAACCCCTAGTTTGGCTCCATGCTGTTACCTATAATTACATTTGTTGGAGTCAAAATAGTTTGTAGTTTGAGTAAATAATGTCTACAATATTTCCAGACTTCAGCCTTGTTTCCTTACTTTTTTATGATCCGTATTTATAGGTTTTTAAATTCCCAATTTATTGTTTATCTTTGTTGGCATTTTTGAACAAAGGATTACTTGATATGGTAGCTAACTTTATACATCGTAATGATAATAAACGTTGCTAGTAGCTAGTTGATACAGTTCATGAAAATTTACTGTGGCTGTTGACTATATGATTGCAATAGTTCGAGATGTAAAATGTTAAGCTGCAGTTGGAGAATATAGTGAACATTTATAGTTTCTGTGTAATTAAATTATTTATATATAATGTATAGCAATGGGCAAATACATGCCGAGACTAAGACACAACTCCCATTAAGTGCTTACAAAATTGTACCAGTAGAAAAATAGCCTTTTCAAATATGAAATATACATCTAAAACATCGCTTTAAATAAACCTTCATTTCTTTTTAAGTAATTATTCTACAGATATGTGTAATTTAGATTTAATATTATGTGTATTGATTTTTTTTAGTCCTTCACTTCATACATAATATAGGGGTTGGCTCCCTAAATACACAGACTATATAGTATATAAAGCATTAAATAATTACATATTACAGTCATCTAATGTTCATCTATTATTGGATGGTAATTCCTGTTTCCTCTTGTACTTAGCTTTTTAAAGGAATACCAGATGTTTGTAAGAAAGCTATCTTCAAGGGTAATGATAATATCGTTTATGCTAGAATTATGGTGTTTTTTAGCTTAAGTAAAATATAGAAAAAACAAACTGACTTTTAAATACTACTACGTCCTTCGCAGTGCCTTATTTAGTATTCTGCAAAAGGTTTGGGTGCAATATGCCAAGCCGTTTTTGTTGTAGGCTGGCAAGAGAAGAAGAATTACAAATGGGTTGTTTTGAGCGGATTTCATTTTCTTTGTAACCTAACGTGCGTGCTTTTTTGTACATTTTTATATGTTTACAGTCTTAGCAGTCAACAGTAAAGGTTTTAAAGTGTTGTTTGAACTGAATATTTACTGTTTAAGGTGCTTTTCGCCCGAACGTCCTATTAGAGTTTTCGGCAATTCCTTGCAATCCCTATTATGAACCACTATCGTGGTTAACGATTCAGCATGTTCAGAAAACAAACGTAAGAAGCGTCATTTCAAATTAATAGATGGAATCGAAGAATGGTTGATATTCTTCTTTTTTAATCATCTTGAATGTCTGTTTTCAGCAGAAACTGTTATAAAAACTTTCCACTATAATTTTACAGTGATATATGTTTTGAATTAACGGTTTTGTCAGATTTTACAAATAATATATATAAGTTCTTCTTTTTTCCAATTGTCGAAATAAATGGCTTTTACTTGTATTCCTTAATAGTATAAATATGTACTATGTTGTTGTTGGGCTTAGGATTCTTCTACAGTAGGTGTCTATGACTTGTTGGCGATAAATTCAACGAAGAATAAACAGCACACAGTTTACTTGTTATAAAATAATATATATATATTCGGAACAAGTTAAACCTATGCACAACAAAGTCTTCACACTACAGAGATTACAGGCATATCATAAACATTATTTATATATAGTTCTTTTCTTCTTGTCAAAAGTCCACTTAGGCCTATTCAATTAATTTAGAATTTCAGTTGACAAGTCGAACTATCTTCTCTATATTACTGTTACGTCTCCGTTCGTTAGTTAATTTCCCGTAAATTCGTTCCGACGAAACTTTAGCGACACAAGTCCTTTCTTAAATAAAACTGGTTTATTCTTTCCGAATACAACTTTACGATACACTTAATTTCAACAGTCGTGCTATAACAAACGCTATAACAACGAAAGTTAACTTCAACAATATTCTCTGACTGCAGTTCAATTACTCACTACCTACACACATTTTCCCGTCACGTTGTGACCATCTTATATATACCAGACTACCCCCAATCTAG